CATACTTCCTGTGCGTCCTTCGCAGGATGGTTGTGAGAATCAAAGTACATCTTTATATGTGCAATTTGGAGCCTTGATGGGGCGTGGTGGTTACATGTTGGGCTGTGATCCACGTGATTGGCAGTTCAAAACCACCAGCAGCCCTGGGAGAGACTGGCATGTCTACTCCCATAAACAGTCACAGTCTCAGAAACTCACAGGGGGTCACTATGAGTCAGCACTGACTCAATAGCGATGCTGCGTTTGAGTTTTTGAGTATGTGCAATTCAGTGGCATTGTGTTCATCGTTTGGTGCAGCCATCCCCATTATTCACTTCCAACATTTCCCATCACCTTCAGCAGAAGCTAAGGAGCCCTGGTGGCAGTATTGGGTAAGCATTGGACTGCAAACCACAAAGTGGATTATATAAACCCACCAGCCACTCTTGGAGAAAAATGAGGTTATCCTGCTCCTGTAAAGATTTACAGCCTGGGAACCCTAAATAGGGTCACTCTTAGTTGAAACTGGCTCAATGGCAGCAGGTGGGTTAGCAGATCAGTGTCTCCTAAGCACTGAGTCCCTTCTGCCACTCCCTCCTACCCACTCCTGGGCGCCACTAAAAACTTTAGGTCTATATACATTTGCCTATTCTTGATCTTTCCTGTATTTATCCTTTTGTAACCAGCTTATTCCCTGCAGCATGATGGAAGATGTACTTTAATATACTGAAGCAAGGACCACACTCTCATCTCAAAGGCTCACAGTGGCATTTGAAGTTATGTTCCAGCTGCTTCTCAGAGTTGTGGCCTTCAGTATATCAGAGAACCCCATTATGAAGTCCCATCTAAATTGGAGAATCTAAGTTTCCAAAGTCTAGGTTTTGATTCATACCATGATTTCCTTTGATATCCAGCCACTTGGTTTTTTGTAAGACCCTTGTCTTCTTTAGAATACCCTGGTAAGTTTGCCACTCCACTTCATGTTGCCTGGATCCCAACTTGTCCTTGGTTTTAGCATCTGTCAGGTCTCCTGTAGATTTACATAAAATTTAAAACATGCAAAATAAACTCTGGGGGTGGGAGGGTGGGGACAACATGCATAAGCACTACCCCTGGTTTGTCCATATTTGTCTAAAACAAGCTGTTATAAAAGAATACGATTTTTTCTCAGCAAGTCTTGATTGGTTTGTTATAAGTTAGTAAGCTCCTTATTCAACCTTCTGTGATACTAGATGTAGGCTGTCAAAATATTCTCTTTAAAAGTAGCAATACAACATGCATCGTGGCACTGTGATAAAATGGAAATCTTTTCTAAGAAATTCCATCATTTTGGACAACTATGTCTATGGTAATCACATTTCCTAAATCCCAGATCAGGAATGTGATCTTATCAAGTATTAGTATTATCAGCATGAAGCAATCTGGAAGATGTAGTCTGGACACTGAAATAAAATACACTGAAGTTTCTAGAAAACGAGACAGAACATTTGAATTTGGAGCTCTCTCATGGAATGAGGACTGATGGTCCTCCCTATCAGCAGGGGTGTTTTGATAGAGCAGGTGAGACAAGAGTTCCCGGTAGACGGGAAAAATGGGGCAAATGATTAATGGTTTGAAGAGGCTAAGGAGTCCAAGCCACAGAAGGATGAAGAAAAAAGCGCTGAATCACTTGCAGCCAAAAATTTTTGACGATATTACATTGACTACTAATGGAAAGAAACTGGAAACGTTAGCAAAACGTGAGAACTTTTGTGGTTAAAGGCCGTCCCCCGATGCTTTCTCAAATCCTGAACAACTTCAACCACCACCACAAAAAACAGACACAACTATAACAGGCAGCCCACCAACAGGAGAATCCCGAGCGAGCCTGGCTTCTAGGATGTTCACTAATTTTGCTATTGCTTGGACTGAGTTACCCATAAGCAAAGGGCATTACGAGCCAACTCTTCTACCTCCCCGAAGTGAAACGCTGCGGCCCTGGCTAGCATGCTACCCTGGGAGCCACCGAACAGCACGACAGCACAGCAAGCCTCCCTACCTGTTGCTAGGACGAGAGCTGGTTGGATGATGTCAATAGTTTCAGTACAGAACGTCTCTAAGTCTACGGCTCTGCCTCGATCGTGAAACCTGCTCAAGTGAATGTCGGATATCTGCCGAGAGCAGGTATTAAACAGAGTCAGGAAGAAAGCAGCAGCATTGGCAGGCGTGGCCAAGCGACTCTTCTCGAGGCAAGAAAAGAGGCAGGAAGGCAAAAGCAGCAGCCACCTTGTTCCTCCCTCCCCACCCTCCGTCCCCGGGGAAGGACCAAGGGGAAGTATGATCAGCACTGGACAGACTCTCCAGCTGCCACCTGCCTGCGAACCCCAGCCCGGAATCGGGGGCGCAAACAAGGACGGGTGGCGCCCAGCAGGAGAAGCCCAGCGTGTCCCACCGCAGTGCCCGCCCGCGCCCACCCCCGCCCCCGCGCTCCGATCGCGTCACCTGCAGACCCCAG